GTTATGTAATCGCGAGTCATTCGTACAAATTATATCGACCGGACCCGACCTCTACATCCAGTTCAAGACCGGGTCCGCTCAGCCCCTGTATAACGGATTCAAAGCCTCATACCTTTTCGAGACAAACCAAACGAGTTTGCATTCACTGTCAGCCGTCACCACATCGACGATAAGTCCCCTGAAAATAGAAAGCATACAAATCCCACAAACAGGTATGGATTTGTTAATGATTTGTTTTAATGATGTATTGATTAATGTTTTTGTCGTTTCGCAGAACCAGTCGAAGATCTGCTCCATAAGGACGAGACCACAGAATCTTCCAGAAGTGAGTCGTTTTGTGTATTAATACACTTAAAAAGTTATATATTTTTTAGTCAAATAGTTTTTACAACTTTTGGTCATTTATCAAAACTAATTTGCATTGTGTGATCATAACATTTACTATTGAAATCAATTAACTAAACAAGGTTTTAAACAAAGTGTTTTAATATATAAACAGAATATTCTATGTGTTCATTAAGTTATGAATGAATACAAGTTTTGGTATTAAATGAATAAATAAAACTGAAGTGATATCTCATCTTTTTTATATACAATAACAATAAAATTCCAGTAATTGTAATAATAATTTGAAAACCGATTTATTTTTGATAAAACTTTTTGCCTAACAATGGGTTTAAGTAATCGCTCGAAAGCTAAGCAAAACTCTTGCGTTCGTGTGATTTGTGCGGAAAGACTGTCCAGAAATGGCGACAAAACCCAACGGTTTGTCATTGGAGATCACCGAATACCTGGCCACTAAAGGCCTGTCAGTACAGTGCCTACTACGAGAGGGCGGGTATTCCTATGTATACAAAGCGGTGTCGGGCGACAGCCAACTGGCCGTCAAAGTAATCAATTTGGAGAAGCAGTCAGAACGCGATCGCAAAGAGTTTCTGCCGCAAGAGATTCAGATATCGCGGTCTGTGGACCACAAGTATATCATGAAAACGCACGACATCTACGAGTTGTCCGACAAGTTTGTGATTATGATCAGCGACTTCGCCGACGGCGGAGATTTGGTCACAATATTGGACCGAAACGTCGAGATCGACGAGAGGTGTGCGCGCCTGTGGTTCGCGCAGGTGGTCGAGGCGGTGGTCTATTTGCACGGCACGGGCGTCGCGCACCGGGACATCAAACCCGATAATGTGCTCATTCACGGCGGGGTCGCCAAGTTGTGCGACTTCGGGTTGGCGCGCAAGTCGGTGGACGAGACTACCGGCGCCCTAGTGTTGAGCGACATCGCGTGCGGGACCGTCGACTACCAGTCGCCCGAGCAGTTCGCGTGCGAGCTGTACGCCAAGCCCTACGACCCCTTTGTGTCCGACTGCTATAGTTTAGGCGTTTTGCTGTTTATGATGATTACACTGGAGTTTCCATACGACTGCGAGAATATTGACTTTCATTGCGACCAACACTTGAAATCGCTTTTAGATAAGCAGATGAAACAAAAGTGGAAACTCAGTGATAAGCACCGGGAGGATAAGGAGCTGATCAGCCTTTTGAAGCAATTAATGAATCCCGATGTGAGCGCTAGGATCAGGAGCTCTCAGATACTATCCCATCCGTGGTTTAGTAAATAGATGAGTGGCAGGTCTGGGATGTCATAAATTTTATAAAATAAAAGTAGAAAACTTTTTTATTAAACCTACACTTGATTTATAATTATTTTTTAGAAATTAATCATAAATTTAATATGAATTAAGTTGAGCACAACTCGTTTAATTAATCCCAAATGAATAGCTTAGTAACTAAGCCTTAGTTGAATGTAATCTTAATATTAAATTTTGTTTAAAGCAAACTAAACAAAAATATTTTAAAGTAACATTTTACGTTTACTAATTTATATAAATCTGATAGAAATCTATTAATTTTATTGAAATGTCTCGGATCTAAATCCATTAAAATAATTGCTAAACAACTCTAGTGTACAATTGGGTTAGCGTTTCATTTGTGAAGCATTTGAATCTCGTTGGTAATTAAAAATCTTTTCGCATCAATACATGTCTGGCATTGAAGAGCATGTATTCAAAGCATGAATCCCTGCTCTCGAGTCGTCGGTCTTTTCATTTCCTGCATCTTGTGTTCAAAAGTAGTGTACTATTGATAGGACACCAACTGTTCAAAGATATCGATTGAAGCATAAGTTAATACCTAATGAGTCTAACGTCTTATGTTTGCGATGCAGTCTCTAATCACTGGTGTCTTCATTGGGATTATTGTTGTGAACACAGAATTGGGCCAATATTTCGTGCCATTCTCCAGAATATCCACTGATTCTGGAGATTCTGCACTCATTTGTTGTCAACAACACTATGGCTGTAATATATGAGACATTTGTTACACACGTTTCGAGTTAATACTGTCTTTTTTCATAAGACTAGACAATAAATTCAAATAATTTTTTCTTGTGTCCATAATTCCGGACTATATTTCAATTTTTATGTTATTTCGTGTATTTCAGTAAACTTTGGTTTTTCTGTTTAGTTTGACATATATTTGAATTTGTTTTGTGTGTGTATGAGAGGGCCCGGTACTAAACAAATGACAGGGATTTCAAAACGACAGCCAAAATTGATATAAATTCAATAAACTATGCGATAAAACCTGAAACCAGAGATACTAGACATTACACAAACTCTTGTACTAGAAGTCTAGTGTACCATAAAAGTGGGTCTAATGTTATACTATAACGAAAAACTTATTGATACAAAACTTGTGAAATTTTTCGGTCATTTATTTGATTTAGAGATTATGTGATATTTGGGGACAAAAATGGTTGTAGCGATGGGAGAGGAAATGGTGGGGAAATGGAGTTAATGTTTTGCCATATTATTTGAGTCGCGGGGATGAGGTTTCTGGTGATTCCCCGCACACACAGAGTCCACACAAAAGTGGAGGAAAATGATTAGAAATCCAATACTGAACTCATGTAATAATCAACCTATTATACAGTATAAAATAGCTATTAATACCTACAAAGAATATACCATGTATATTTAGTTTTAAAGTTTTAGTTAGCTACAAATCATTTCTTCTTACAAATATACTCTC